CAGGGTTGGGTTGGGGGTAGTATGATATAAGGGGAGAGAGAGGGAGAGATTGATTCTTCCTCAACACCCCCCCTGCCCCCTTCCAAAGAGCAGCAGAAACTCAAGAGTCCAAGCCTGATCAATCCATGACTACTCTCCCCCCCGCCCCCCACCCCAGCGCTAGCCTTGGCAGATTGGGCTTTTGTAGAGGAAGGCAACATTTCCTTATCAGTCATGAACCAAAAAAAAAAAAATCAGTCTCCCAACTGGTAGATCTTCCAAGTATTGTTACAAAGATGTGGAAGAAATATTTTGCGGGGAGAGGAACCACCCCTCTGTAGTCTGAGAGTTAACTCCCAAAGGCTGTTCTTACTCTTTTTAGCTTCCTCTCCTCCTCCTCTTCTGAACCCACTTACTCTCCCACAAGAATTTTCCTCAACACTGACTGGAGAGACTGTGGAGGAGGATTGCCTCTATAGGGAGCTTGAAAGTCAGGGACATGCCTGTGGCTGCAGCTTTGACCGAAGTGGGGAGCTGTTTTCTATGCATATTTATGCTCTTAAAGTAGTTGGGGTTTTTTGTTTGGGAGCTTGTGTGTGGATGTGTGTGTGTGTTTTGTTTTGTTTTGTTTTGTTTATCATCCACCATCTTATTGTATACAATCTTTCATCTCAGCTAAGTTAAAGAAGCATGATTACTCCTAGTATGCAGATGAGGAAACCAAAGTTAAGAGTGATTAGCAACTTGGAACACCTGGGTGGCTCAGTTATTTCAAGCGTCTGACTTGATTTTGGCTCAGGTCATGATCTCAGGGTTGTGAGATCGAGCCCTATATTGGGCTCTGTGCTGGGCGTGGAGGCTACTTAAGATTCTCTCCCTCTCCCCTGAGGCACCCTCTCTCCCCAACTCTTTAAAAAAAAAAAAAAAAATGATTAGCAACTTTTTCCAAAATGATGTAATTTGTTGGTAGGTGTGTTGCGCTTAGAATTCATCTCTTGACCCTTCCTACCATATTCATTGTAAGGATAGAATTTTGAGAAGGACCTCTTAATGTCACGGTCTTAAACATAATTTAAAATTTTTTAACTTTTAATTTGAAATAATTTGAGATCCACAAAGATATTTTAAAATGGTTCCAAGTTCCCATGTATCCTTCAGCCAGTTTTCCCCATTGATAACATCTTACACACCCATAGTACATTTTCTTTTTTCTTTTTCTTTTTTTAAGTAGGCTCCATGCCCAACATGGGGTCGAACTCACGACCTGGAGATCGAGCGTTGCATGCTCTACCAACTGAGCCAGCCAAACGCCCCCATACTACATTTTCAAACAGGGGATTGATGTTGGTACAACACTATTAGCTAAACTATAGACCTTACTCAGATTTTTCCAAGTCGTACATTACTATATTTTGTTGATGGTGGTGGTCTGGGAGCGTACAGCACTGTGCAGTCTCATCGTGTGTGTAGACTTGTATAACCACCACCACCGTCAGGACATAGAACCATTCCATCACCACGGACAAATTCTGTTCTTGCTCTCCCTTTATAGACTCTCACCCAGCCCTAAGCCCTGGCAACCACTGGTGTTTTCTCCATTACTATAATTTTGTCATTTTGAGAGTGTTATATAAATTTAAATTCTTATAGTATGAAACCTTTTTTGAGATTTATTTTTCCCATTTAGCACCATACCCTTGATGTTCATCCAGGTTGTTAATGTGTATCTATAGTTCTTTTTTATGACCAAGTAGTGGTCTCCCATATGGATGTACCATAGCTTACCCATTCACCTGTTGAAGGACATTTCTTCACCTATATATATGTATATATATTTTTTTCATTTTAACAGTTTTTATTTAAAGTCGTGTGTAAGATTACTTTACTCCTGCTTCTTCTCAATTGTTTCTTCTTTATATTTGCCCTTTTCCTTTCCTACTTGGTGAGATTTGGCTTTCTGTTCAAGGATCTTTTTGTGGTCTTTGTACACTTAGAGCCTAGTGCTAACCACCTTGCCAGGGTGAGTGCCCACATGGAGAATCGTCCATCCGCCTTCTCTCGCTGCACTCGTTCAGTGTAGATGACGTATTTCTTCCTGTAAACCTGGACGACTTTGCCAATTTGCTGACCTCTATAGAGTGTCCTCATACAACCTGTACTTCATCATGCTTTCAGATGGGCATGGATCGCACATTGTACTTCTGTCTCAGCTCTTTGGAAAGCAGGGAAGACATAATCTTCCTGCAAATGTGGGAGGGTGCATTGAAATGCCTTTTACAGTTCCTGCTCTGGTCAGAAGTCACAAAGGGATTGAACTTCATTTTGGCTGCTGGTGCTTCAGTAAGGGCTGCAAAAGGGAAAGGGCCCCCTATATATTTTTTTAATTTTTATTTTGAGATAATTATAGGTTTATGTGCTGTTGTAAGAAATAATCCAGTGGGATTTTGTCCTCGTGGTGCCTTTTTTTTTTTCAAAAATTTATTTATTTGAGAGAGCAAGAGTAGGGGGAGGGGGAGAGGGAGGGAGAGACTCTTAAGCAGATTCCCCGCTGAACGTGGAGCTCAACGTGGGGTTTGATCTCATGACCTTGAGGTCATGACCTGAGCCAAAATCAGGAGTTGGATGCTTAACCCACTGAGCCACCCGTGTGCCCTGATTGATGGTGCGTTTTTATAGCCACACCCACCTCCCTTCTTTCCTTATATTTCTAAATGGTAAATTTGTTTATACTTCCTTGCCCTCTTTCCTGTTTTCCATCCATCTGGTGACTAGGTTTCTTCTGCCCACAGAACAATCCAAATTTTCCATCACAGCATCTGACACAGACCTAATCCATTCCCCTAAATGGTGGTGCAGACTTCAGAATCCCTTGGGCCCCTTCCCTTCCCTCCATCACCCTAAACACCCATTACAATATTGATCTGTCTCCAGTATTAAGGAGGAAGGAAATCTGGTTGAGCCAGTACTAATGGCAGGAGGACCGATGGTCCCTTAGCCTCCTAAGAGATTGATAAATTATTCCCACCCCCCACCCAGTCCTTACTGTATTTAAACGTTTATCCTATAAGGATGAGGCCCCATCACTCCAAGTAACTACATCTTATTCGGAAAGATAAATTGTCTCTGGTGGGGGTGCCTGGGTGGCTCAGTTGGTTAAGCGACTGCCTTCGGCTCAGGTCATGATCCTGGAGTCCCGGGATCGAGTCCCACATCAGGCTCCCTGCTCAGCAGGGAGTCGGCTTCTCCCTCTGACCCTCTTCCCTCTCGTGCTCTCTATCTCTCATTCTCTCTCTCTCAAATAAATAAATAAAATCTTTAAAAGAAAAAAAAAAATAGTCTCTGGTGGGAAAGTGTGTGTTCCAGACTGTAAACCAGAAGTGGATGTGTTAAGTCCTTGGCTTACTTAGCCATGAGAGGTGACTCTTCTTTCCTTGATGGGTCTAGATGGGTGACATTCCTGAGTGGTTGGTAGTAGAGATGTGTTGTATAAATAGACCACCAGTTCAAAAGTTAAAACCCTAGTAAGGTCTCTTTTCCCTTAGGAGCCATACAAAATGAGACCCAGAGTCCTAGCTTTATTTTATAAGTCAAATTATTTAGCTGCTTTGCTCTTTATGTATGTTTACCTTTTTTACTTTCTTCAGGAATTAGCAAAATCCTTTTTTTTTTTTAATTCATTCTAGCTTGTCTTAGCTGTACTAGTTGGAAAGCAAGGATGAGTTTTAAGTCTAAACTTGACCCTTTGTTAAAGGTTGGCTTGGCAGGCCAGGGTTGGGTTGGGGGTAGTATGATATAAGGGGAGAGAGAGGGAGAGATTGATTCTTCCTCAACACCCCCCCTGCCCCCTTCCAAAGAGCAGCAGAAACTCAAGAGTCCAAGCCTGATCAATCCATGACTACTCTCCCCCCCGCCCCCCACCCCAGCGCTAGCCTTGGCAGATTGGGCTTTTGTAGAGGAAGGCAACATTTCCTTATCAGTCATGAACCAAAAAAAAAAAAATCAGTCTCCCAACTGGTAGATCTTCCAAGTATTGTTACAAAGATGTGGAAGAAATATTTTGCGGGGAGAGGAACCACCCCTCTGTAGTCTGAGAGTTAACTCCCAAAGGCTGTTCTTACTCTTTTTAGCTTCCTCTCCTCCTCCTCTTCTGAACCCACTTACTCTCCCACAAGAATTTTCCTCAACACTGACTGGAGAGACTGTGGAGGAGGATTGCCTCTATAGGGAGCTTGAAAGTCAGGGACATGCCTGTGGCTGCAGCTTTGACCGAAGTGGGGAGCTGTTTTCTATGCATATTTATGCTCTTAAAGTAGTTGGGGTTTTTTGTTTGGGAGCTTGTGTGTGGATGTGTGTGTGTGTTTACATTTGTCAGAATTGTCTTCCTGATTAATGTCAAGCAGTAACTTTGGAAGTGCCTTAGAAACTGACTATTAAAGCTGTAAATAAATAGAGCCTCTTTTGATGTTCTTTTGTTTGGTTGGTTTTGTTTTATTTTTTGCCTTTTTTTTTTTTTTTTTTAAGTAATCTCTATGCCCAAGGTGGGGCTAGAACTCACAACCCTGAGATCAAGAGTCACATGCTCTACCACCTGAGCCAGCCAGACGCCCCTGTTCTTTGCATTTTTTAAATTTGACTTTAAGTTTTGAGGATGTGAGTTTTTTCAAGAAATTCAGGGCTGACCAATATCTTGATATTTTTGCCAAAAATATTCTCACCTTTTGTGTACTGTGTGAAATCATCTGGTGTCTCTGAGAATAAAGAGGTAAAATAATCTCAAATCTCACAGGGCTGTATGGCGAAAGACAACTTCTGCCTGTCTGCCCTAATAGAGGAGGACAATGGTATCTGTAATGCAGAAAGCAAACGTTAAATTTTCTGGTTCTAAATGCAGTTTGCAGGCTTCTCCTGTTGTTATTGTCGATAATATTTGTCCTAATCTGATACAGAGATTTCAAATCTGGGTTTAAGTTTTGTGCTCATTGACCCACAAAGTGAAAACCTCAGTGTTCAACACTGAAATCGTGTTAACTGTTTCCGTGTTGGGTTGGTAACTGTGAGGCTGGAAGAAGTGAGGCGGCGGGAGTGTCCAGTTTGCCTGTTGGAGGAGGCTGCAAGTACATGAAGAAGCTGTTGCCAGGAATTGCTGTCTGCTTATACTAAGTCTCTTGTGTTCTTGTTTTCCTTCCCTCGCAGCATGTTTTGCTGTCCTTAGCGTAATACAGAAAGGACTAGTACCTTGGATGTACCTCACTTTTATTTCACTTGATGGTACACCCTCCTGGACTGGGCCTGACCTAAGCATCCTTGTCTGAGTAGGAGGCTGGGGCAGGCAGCTGAAGTGACCACCAGCGAGTTAAGGTTTAGCCCTTCCCTTCTCATTTGATAATAACCCCTGTGACTCTTAGCAAAGCCTTGGAGCAGCTATGCCCCTACAGTCAGGGGTTTTGATGTGTTTAGTATTACTATTGGTATTCAGTGTTAGTATTCCTAACCTCATGGACCCACAGAGAATGTAGATGGAAACACAGCACAACTTGACATTGATTAAATTGAAAATGTAAAACCCACAGAACTTCTTAACAGAATTTCCTGGTTTGGCTTCTCAGTGATAGAAGCTCCTCTCTCTTTGAATCAGAAAAGAGATTTTCTTGAACTGAGTCTTGGATACCTTTTGAGCTCATGCCAGCCTCCATCCTAATCTTCTTCTCCTTTTCCTCCTGACAGCTGTCACTGAAATGTAGAGCTCCTGAAGTCTCTCAGTACATCTATCAGGTCTACGACAGCATTTTGAAAAACTAATAGACTGGTCCGGGGCCCTCCGGCCACCCTGTGATTGGTGCAAGCCAAGAACTCTTAACTGGAAGAAATCGTATTGCCGTGTAGAATCTGAACCCAAACACACTGAGGCCGCCCACCAAGGTAGTGACTAGTCTAACCTGTGCTAACATTAAGGCACAACCTGTTGGATAGTTTTAGCTTCCTGTGAACATTTGTAACCACTGCTTTGATCACGCCCCACCTCTTGCCACCTGCCTCTGCGATCTGTCCTTACTTGTGAGCTTCTCCATAGTGTAGTTTGATATTTTGTAATCGAGAGCTCATTTCAAAAGCAGAAAAAGACAAAAAATATTAAAGCAAGGAAAAGTGTCACCGAAACATAAACTGCACTTTATTGTATTATATTTTTGTACATATGAGAAGTGGAGGGAATAGCATACCCGGTAGAAAGTGTGAAAACAACCGACCGCCATGAACCGCACAGTCCTGGAGGAAGAGACGCGGTCCTTTGCCCCCCCCGGGAGGGGTTCTCTTATCTGTGGCAACCTTGTCCCTGGTTATGTGGGTTTTCACTTTTTTTCTCTCTCCAAACTCCCTTTCCTTGTGATTCTGCCTACCCCGTCCTATCGTCTCATTTTATGGCTCTGCGGTCGGGAATGGGGGTCTTCCTTGAAGGGGGCTTCAGGGGGCAGGAAATAGGGCCTGTAGGCACTAAAGCTGAGAGAAATTAGAACTTACTACATCCTTTCCCTCGATCTAACCCACAGTTCACACCAATCAAGGAATTTTCGTAGAGATGGGTAACAGGAACCAAAATATGCTGCCCCCGCTCCCTGCCCTGGATTTAATTTAATTCTCAGGTCCAATTCAGATCTAAAATCATGGTTCTAGAGTTGAAACAGACTTTAAGTAATAACTTATCCAACCCTGGTTTTCCTAAAATGGAAAAAGACAAAAGGCAAAACATGTTAACTGCCTGAGGCCTTTTAGCTGTTGGGGGTGGCGGGGGGGACTGGGTCTCCTAAATCCCCATCAATGTTGTTCTCACTACATTTTCACTAATGTATTTCTTAGTGAAAATTTCACTAATTTTCCTTTCTTCAATGCCTTTCTCTTGCCTTCTCTGTGCCTGTTTCTTTGTGGCTCTTCTTGTACTCCGTACTGATTTTGGCACGCCATTCATTGGCATCAGGTGGCAGCAGAGTATCTCTCTTCAATTACTGGAAGGTAAACCCAGATGCCAGAGTGAGACAGTAACTAAACGTTTCCCCACATGCTCCTAGAGCCACAGTCCTTGAGGCCAGCAGGGCAGGTGCAGACGAAGTGAGACAGAGTGAGCTTAGAGAGGTCCCAGACTCATTTGATCCCGTTAGCTCTCCGAGCTGCCCTGTCACTTAGGCTCCACGCCAGCTGAGCCCATCTCAGAGGGTCAGGCAGTCTTGTCCTCTCTCAGAAGGTGGGGAGGTGTGAAATCCCCTTCCTTAACACGTTGGGTGTGTTTTGTCAAAGGATGCTTTGTGCCCAAAGCACCAACGGTAGCAGTGTTCACACTGTTACGTCTCTGGGCACTTGTCGCACTGCCTGGTACCCAGTATTCAGGATCCAGGAACACGACCGCCCTTCTCAGCTGCCCCACACGAGTCAGAGGCACTTGGGGCCCAAAGGGCTCATGTTGAACTCAGACCTCAGCGTGAGTCCAAGAGGAGGAACCCTAGCAAACAAGAGCAGAAGCCACCCCACAGCCCTGTCATGTCTGAAATAACCCTGATTCATGCCAGTTATAGAGCTTGAGGGGAGTGGATCCCCCAAAGCAGTTTCCTAAGCCTGGAGACTCCACGAGAAGAATGACTGGGGCAGGAGTACGGGGAAGAGGGAGGAACTGGCGTCCTACCCTCACCGCCCCTCAGGCGCGTGGAGAGTAGGAGGTAGCACAGGGAATATATGTGGGGGGTGGGTAGGTTGCCTGTGTGTCGGGTGGAAAAGCAGGTTGATCGTTTCCTTCTTGGGAAATCCTTCGTGGAGTCGGACGGACACAGGCAGTGAAGAAGGTTCACACGACAAGTACCGTGTTCTCACTCAGAGCAAACTGTAATTCCACAAGGAAGTGTGTGTCAGCTAAGCAGACAGAAGACAGTTTATGCCAGAGTATGGCCCTCGGCCCCTGAAACGAGGCTTCTGTCAGCCTCCCCAGCAGCGATGGGTAACAGCTACTGTTCTCGGCTCCCCGGACTGAGCCAATCCGGGAATTCTTCGCGCCTTGGGGAGCCTGCCTCCCACTGCCCCCCTGAGCGGTTAGGGAGGGATTCAGTTCTGTGGAAGAGCACCTCTCTTCTGAAGAGACGGCACCTGTTGCCTCCACTGCAGCTTCCCTTTTGGCCCGCATCAAGCCCAGTCGAAGTGGGTAGACGGAGTGAAGATTGCCCCTCCATTCTCTCCTCTGCCTCAGTATGTCTTTGTAACGTCCGCTGGTGTCAGTATACAAAGGGCAGGGAAGCACACACACACCCAGAACTCTTGCTGGTCAGAGATTCCCTGAGTGTCTGTCCTCGCCCGAGCCTGTCTCGTGTGTCTGTGTTGTGAAGCTTAGGACTCTGGAGAGAAATTGGGAGTGGGAGGGGTAAATGTTGCCCTAGGAATGCTTATCATTCTTTGGTTGTTGGGATCTGTTCTTGGGGAGGGTGGGGGTTGGGGGGGAAGCTTGACTTTGTGTCTTCATCAATAAACCCATTTACACAAAATGAAGTTTGTGGTATGTACTTTGTTCCCAGAACGGACGCTCTAGGACACAACACTGCTGCCCAGGAGAGGGATGGGGCATTAAGAACCATACTACTAGAACTTTTCTTTCAGCGGCCCCAACCCTCCCAGGGATTTAGTCAGATGAAATTAAGATTGACCTGAGGAAGAATCCTATACCTTTTGCGGAGGCTCCTGTTAACCAAGCCCCATATCAGCACCACAGGCAGGAAGTGCTCGCAGGAGCCAGTCTGTTCCCTGGCAGGTCCCCTGCTAGGGCCTGAGGCCCATGGTCCCGCGGCAGAAGCAGCCCAGCAGAGCTACTCACCAGTTTTCCTGTTACCCAGGACGATTCATCTCGAAATGTATAAAAAGCCGCTGGGAACTGAGCTCGGGGCTCGTGTGTTCCAAGTGAATAGAATTAAGGCTTGAAAGCAAGCTTCCCTAGGAGTTCAAGTCTAGTCACCTGCATCGCAGGAGCCCAGGACCCAGGTGTTGTCAAGCTAGAGGCCCCACCCTAGATTCTGATGAGCCTCCGTAGTCTCTCTCAACCTGGAGTGGGGGAAGGAGGCTGAGGGATCCACCACCAAGATGCCCGTAGACTCGTCCCCGAACCTGTCACCGCTAGAGTGAATGTGTGTAAGCTGCTTTGCTCAGTGTTCAGCAGTAGCTGCTTTTCTTACTTGGGTGTCCAAACTCTATGAACGAACTGTCTTTGGCAGCCAGGAACTTCTTGCTTGTCACCATGCTGCTGGTTTGCAGTTAGCTCAAGCTGTGACAGGAATGGCACGGGAAGTAGTGGGGCCAGGGTGGTCTTTGTTGAGGTTCAAGGTCAAAGAAATGAAGAGGGATGGGCCTTCCTGAGATCCGTCTGGATTCACCAACTAAGAATAATTTCAGGTTGGGCAAATTTACAGGGCAGAGGCTCTCAACTTTTTTTTTTTAAGATTTTAATTTCCGTGGGGCTCGAACCGACAACCCTAAGATCAAGAGTGGTATGCTCCACTGACAGCTGGCTGTTTGCGCCCCCCCACCACCACCACCAGAGGCTCTCCCCCCGGGTGCACGTTAATACCACATCTCAGGTTTCAAAAACTGATGATTTCCACTCAGCCAGGCTGGGGTGGGGCCTGGGGGAAATCTGCATTTAAAAAAAAATCCCGGTGTTTCCACTCTGCAGCTGGGGTTGAAAATCAACTGCCTGAGAAAGACACACCTGTGTGCCTACTTAAAGGAATGCTGGTGTTCCTGTTACAAGGTGAAAAAATGCTAAAGCACTGGGACAGTGGGGGGTATCAGCGGAAATAGGGGAAGGGGATTAAGAGGTGCAAACTTTGTTATAAAATAAGTCACGGGGTGAACAGCGTAGGGAATACTGTCAGTGATGTGAAAGTTTTGCGTGGTGACAGATGGTAACTACACATACTGTGGTGAAGATTTCATAATGTGTGTAATTGTCGAATCACTGTTGTGCACCTGAAAGGAATATATTGTATGTCAGCTATATTTCAGTTTTTAAAAATAACCAAAAAAACCCCCACGAAGTTGCCAAATAAAATGCAAGTTGCCTGGAATCATACTAAAAAAAAAAAAGAAAAATGGTAAAGCACTTTTCATGCACATGATACCTGCCTACCCCATGAGTCCGGCATTATCTCCACTTTTCAGGGGAGGTGTGGCAGACCCACCCACATCTTTTGACTCCCTGTGTGTGTCCTTACCCCAAGACACTACAGCTTTCCCTTTGAGTTCCACTGAAAGTTCTGTAATAGGTCCTCCTCATCCCTCTGCACTCAGACTCCAGGCCAATGGCCAACCCTGCTAAGCCCCCAAGTTACCAGGATGTAGAACTAGGAGCAGGCCACGCTGGCCCCAGACTTTCACCTTCCATTGCACCGTCCTTCTCAGCCCCCAGAATGGCAACTAGGAAATACTGAGATCTCAGGTACGTTGTTTCTGAAGCCTGAAAACGGTTGAGGACTCCCGGGTTTGAGCCCTCCTACTCCCACCTCATGCATTGATGCTTTTTCTGATTTTGCCTGGACCCAGATTTCTTTTCCCTGCCACCCCCAGCTCCAGGAGGCAAGAGCCTGTTTATTTTAATACCTGGTGTGGCACTTGGGAAAGATCACACCTCCCCCGTTGTTACCCGTTTCTATCTCCTGAGCACTAATCCTAGAATCCCAACCAGCCCCCAGGCATGTTATTAGCAACAAGGATGTTTCTTGAAAAGTTTCCGAGTTGGCTGCAAACTTGCCGTCTCAGTTTCTCATTTAGCTTTTGCCCTGCCATTCTTGATGCTGCCAACAAGGGGAAGGCTGATTTGGGGGTTGCTTGGACCCAGATGGACTTAATCTCCCAAAGTACTGCTTTGGAATAGGACTGCCCCAGCACTCTGGGGACAGAGAGGACCGCTCAGCAGCTTCTTCCCGCCATATAGGTATTAGAGGAGGAGGTTCATACGCAGCCTCTGGCTTTCCCTCCCTGGTTTCATTCACTCTCCACTTCCGCTCTTAGGCTCCAGAATCTGGCCAAACAGCCTCTGAAAGCTCAGGGGCATTTTCAGCTGTGATGGGGTGCAAGGGGTGGAGTGCATGGTCTTTGTTTCTTCTGTCCCACTTAGAGGTCGAGGCTTCGGATGCTACAAGTGGAT